AGCCACAGGCGCTGAGCCTATAGGACAGGTTTTCAATAAAACTTTATTTACAAAACTAGGCAGTAGCCTGGATTTGGCCCACAAGCTATAGTCTGCCAACCCCTGTTCTACACAATAGGAGGGTACTCTGTTCATCTAATTATAATGAAGAGCAAGCTCATGTGTTTTTCTCAGAATTTGCTCCATATGTTTGCTCTCTAAGAATATCACACAGAGGCACTTAAGTAGGTCGTGACGATAATGAACCTCTTTGTAGATTTCTGTTCTCTGAAGATGAAGTAGCAATCAATCTTCCTTTCTCTATACTAGTAAGGTCAAAGACATGAGTCAAAAGGCTAAGAATTTTAATCCTGGCCTAAAACACATGTCAACTATGTGACCCTGGAGTTTGTCACCCTCTCACTTTTAGAGGAAATCTTAGAAATAGTTAAATATTGGCGGCGTCTGTGGCTCAAAGGAGTAGGGTGCCAGTCTCATATACTGGAGGTGGCAGGTTCAAACCCAGCCCCAACCAAAAACCACTAAAAAAAAAAAAAAAAGAAATAGTTAAATATGAGCAGATGTGAAATGGGCATTTGGAAATTCTAATTCATGATACTATTATTATTACTGCTAATACTAATCACCATAATAACAGCAGTAGCAAACAACATGTGCCAGATATTGTAATAACTATTTTAATTCTCATAACTCTGTGGCGTATGACCTGTCTACTTCCGGCAGATGTAGGTGCTGCAAGGCCATGCAAGTAACCAGTGGTAGGATGGGCCTTGAACCTGGGAAGTCTGGCTCTCAAGTCCAAAGAAATCATTATATTCTATTACCTCTAACAAAATGAAGACAAAGTTTCTACTATTCTCAACAGACAACTACATGTCCTAAAAATATCCAGAAATCTAGGAAAAGAATAGGACAGGGCTAATGTTTACCAAGACAGATTCTTTTTTCACAGAAACCAAGTCAGTTTGTATCACTTCTTTAAATAACAGAATTTAAATAATATTTGTGAAACAAAGATACACAATCAAGAGTAAGTAACAAAAATGCAAGACTGTATGGAGGTTCTATGGTGCTTTTCTAATATTAGCAAATTGTTTCTCAAAACGTACCCTCTGAGTACTCTATACAAACTCAATACAAACTCTATACAAACTCTATACAAACTCAAATTTTACTACTAAGTCTGGAACGGAAACGAAACTTTTAAGGAGGCAGGATACCAACTTTTCATGCATTAAATTCTTGCCACAAAAATTTGGAAAGAATCCAGAGACTCTTATTCTTCTGCAAAAAAAGTACTAGCTTTTGTTTTGTATGTTATGCTTTCTAACCAGTAGTTCCTCAAATCTGGTAGCACACACATAAAAGACACCAAAAACTTAAAAATAAAGTAGTGCAGTTAACCCTCGAACAACATGGGTTTGAACCACGCAAATCTGCTTTGTAATGAATAACAAATATATTTTCTCTTCCTAATGACTTTCTTAACATTTTCTTTTCTCTACTTTACTTCATTGTAAGAACACAGGATAATTTGTGTAATACAGAATGTAAGTTGTTACGTGACTGTGCTGCTATTGCTCAGTCTTCCAGTCAATAGTAGGTAATTTACGGTAGTTAAATTTGGGGGAGCTGAAAGTTATACATGGATGATGCTTGTGGGGGCAGGGCTGGTGCCACTAACTGCTGAGGTGCTCAAAGGCCAGTGTTCATCTCTGATGAACTGAGAGCAGGTCCCAGAGCCCTGCATTTTTATTTATTTTTGAGACAGCCTCACTTTGTTACCTTTAGCGTCGTAGAGTGCCGTAGCGTCATAGCTCACAGTAACCTCAAACTCCTGGGCTTAAGTGATTCTCTTGCCTTAGCCTCCCAAGTAGCTGGGACTACGGGCGCCTGCCACCATACCCAGCCATCTTTTTGGTAGTTCTCACTGTTGTTTGGCAGGCCCAGGCTGGGTTCGAACCTGCCAGCTCCGATGTATGTGGCTGGCACCCTAGCTGCTGAGCTACAGGCACGGAGCTGAGCTCTGCATTTTTAAAAGCTTTCATATAACTGGTGTTACCCGTAAGAATGCTTAAGGTTCTTAAGAGAAATAAAACACCCCAAAATAATATGAAGATGGTTAATTTTAAGAATTAATCTCTTCAAGTTTTAAGTTAAAGTTACAGATGGCAAGTGTTTAGGAAATCTAAATCAGAAAAGTAAATATCGAAAAGAACTTCCTAAGATTTAGAATGTGCTTATGATCTAAACAAATAGCTAACATTTCAAGATTTTTGATTAGTATTTCTTGTTCAAATTACTTGATATAAGCACAGTTTCTAGTTTAGAGAAATGTGTTAAAATCCCAGCTGCTCCCAGGAATCATCAGAGGTGTTAATTACATCAGTGTGTATGTGTCATGGCAGCAACCCTCTTCCTGTGTCAGGGAGACTATTAGAATTAATACATTAACCTGCAGCAGTTAAAAATAATCATCAGTGTTAAGATAATAAGCAAATTTTGCATGTGATATGCCACACTATTTCTTTCAAAAATCACTATAACCTTAAAATAAAGACAGGGGTTGATAAACTTTATAAATCTAAGTTTAAAATGTACACATTATCACTTTCACAAATATCTAGAAACCACAGCAGACACAGTAACAGCAACCCTATTTATAGCTGTTTCAAGTTACCCTCTTTTCTCACAACTTCCCATGTTGGTGGGAAGCCAAACACCTTGGTAGTATACTGCCTTAACAACTATATTACTATGGCTGCTCACAAACTTTAAAAACAACCTCTCTCCTGTCTAGTCCCTTCTCTCTTCACTGCCTTCTTCCCCGCCTCCTCTCCTTCCTAAAGCAACATGCTCCTGGTGGGCCAGTTCTTGACCTTCTCTTCAATTTCTTTCTCTTTGCAATTTTAGTGACTTCTATGGATTCTACTAACACTCTATGCAGATTAAGTCCCAAATCAACATCTCTAATCCCAAATCATCTCCTCAATTCTGGACTCAACCTTTTTTTTTCTTTCCAGCTTGACTAAGATATAATTGACAAATAAACACTGCATGCACTTAAGGTGTCCACTGTGCTATTTTGATACACATCTATGCTGTGAAATGATGACCACAAGCACATCTATCACCTCACGTAGTGATCTTCCTTTCTATGTGTGATCACAACACTTAACATCTCCTCTCTTAGCAAATTTATAAAAACAAAATAAAATAAAATAATAAAATTCGACATTTACATACACTCACACAGACTTGTCTCTGTGATTTATTCCATTTAGTGTGATGTCCTCAAAGTTCATCCATATTGTTGCAAATGACACAGGATTTCCTTCTTTTCTAAGATGAATAACATTCCATTGTGTGCATGTGCGTATGTATAACACACACCACATTTTCTTGATCTATCCTTCTGTTGATGGACACCTAGGCTGACTTCAGATCTTGGCTACTGTGAATAATCCTTCAATAAGCGTAGGAATACAGATCACCTCTGTGAGACCATTTTATTTCCGCTAGCTACATCTGGTATGTGGGACTGCTGGATCATGTGGAAGTTCTATTTTTAATTTTTGGAAAAGCCTCCATATTGTGTTCCATAGTAACTGTACCAATTTACATTCCCAGCAACAATATATAAGAGTTCCCTTTTCTCAAAAACTGTCTCTTCAGTTCTGGCCCCACATTTTTTAATTGCCTCCAGATCTTCCAGAAATCTGTATATAAATTGCTGTACAGATGCGCATGTCTCTTATTTTATTTTAGTTTTTTAGACTTTTTTTTTTTGCAGTTTTTGGCCACGGCTGGGTTTGAACCCACCACCTCTCGCATATGGCACCTTACTCCTTTGAGCCACAGGTGCTGGCCGCCCTTGACTATTTTTTTTGAGACCGAGTCTCAATTATGTCGCCCTGGGAAAAGTACCGTGGTGTCATAGCTCACAGCAACCTCAAACTCTTGGGGTTAAGCAATTCTCTTGCCCCAGCCTCCCACGTAGCTGGGAATACAAGCACCCACCACAACACCCAGCTATTTTTTTGTTGCAGTTGTCATTGTTGTTTTAGCTGGCCTGGGCCAGATTCAAACCTGCCAGGCTCAGCGTATGTGGCCGGTGCCCTACTTGCTGAGCTATGGGCACTGCCCTTATTTATTTACTGAGATGGAGTCTCACTTTGTCACCTCTGGTAGAGTGCCATGACATCACATCTCACAGCTACCTCCACTCTTGGGCTCAAGCAATTCTCTTGCCCCAGCCTTCTGGGTAGCTAGGAGTACAGGCACCTGTCACAATGCCCAGTTATCTTTAGAGACAGGGTCTTGCTCTTGCACAGGCTAGTCTCAAACTCCTGAGCTCAAGAGATCCTCCCACTTCAGCCTCCCAGAGTGCTGGGGTTACAGGTGTAAGCCAGTATACCCAGCCATAATGTGTGTTTTTTTAAGACATAAGTGTCATAATTTCCTCCAGATACTCAAATGCATACACAACCCCAAAGACAAGACAAATTCAAGTAAGTCACGTACTACTAGCATTATCAGACTCTTTGGCATCAATACCAAATAATACATTTTTAAAAGGGAAAACAAAGTCCAGGTTAATATGTTCATTAAAGAATTTCTGCAACAGCTGACCTTCCCAAACAGCAGATTCCTGAAGCATGCTAGCATCTTCTAATGCAATGCTGCAGCTGTGGACTGTTTTTGTATATAAAATTTTATGGAGACACAGTCATGCCTGTTTATTCTCATATTGCTGATGGCTGCTTTTATAGCTGAGTACTGAGAGAGAATGTATGACCTGTGTGATTAAAATATTTACCATCTGGCCTTTCAAAGAAAAGTCTGCCTGCCTTTTATTATTCTAGATCAGAAAATGTCTAAAGTAAGAAAAATAGGCCTAATCAGAAGAAAGCCTATGTTCTTATTTTTTTTACAAGTAATTCCAAATACACATATCAAGCAAATACAACCATTTATTGTGGACACTAGAGCATCATTACCTGCCATTGCTGGGCTGCTGTGGAGAGTGTCTGGAGTGATCGGAAGGCTCTGACCGCTGGTCAGGAGACCGAGACTGGCTGCGGCGGGGAGGCCTATCGTGTGACCGAGCAGAATGATCTGATGCTAGTGACTGAATTTCTGAAATGTCTGTTAAATAAAAGGGTACTATTTATTTTTCCATAAGATGGTTAGCCAAGTATAGGTATGCCAATGATAACGGATGATAAGCTAGTAAGGATAATTTCATATAAAGTGACATTTAAATATTAATTTTATAAGCTAGTGATCAAATCAATAGTGGTTAAGTTACCTACAGGAAAAATACATGTCTTTGTGACTTTTAGATTTTGAAGATTTGGGCTTGTGGAAAATTATCACTTCACTTAAAGATGTCCAATCTTCCTAGTATTTTAAGAAACAGGCCACTCAGAGGGAACCTCCAAGGAGCACCACACTCACCATCTCTCTCAGAGGCATTGGCTGAGTGGATGCTGTCAGAGAGGTCAGGGACGTTCAGCAGGGTTGCCCGTTCATCTCTCTGAACCACCATTTTCAACTTCCCTTTAGACCTTTCTATCAATGTCTTTGCGTCTGTCAATGACATATTTTCTGTCACGGTACCATTTATCTGCAAAAGAAAAGAAACTATACGTTGAAAGTAAATGACAAACCAAATATAAATGTTAACTTAGTCTGTTATAAACAAGAACATCCAAACTACTATTTGGCTTTGTGGAAGAACCAAAATAGTATTCCCTCTACACTCTCCTAAATGACAGCCTCTTCCACATTCCTGAAATGAAAAAAACTTACCATACTGTTGCTATCATAAAAATTGAAATTAGCATCCCCTAAGTCCTCATCAAAGCCTGTTATATTCTTTTACTTATAAGCAAACTAATAAAATAAACATTCCAGTAATATCTGGAGCAATTAGCAAACCACTTAACGTATAAGCATAGTCATGTCTATGTACAAAGTAGCTCCTGCTGGTAAATACTACACATCTGTAGAAGTTAATTCTCTCAGAATAACCCTGTAACACCTACAGTACGTTGATGATGATAATGGTAATAGTAATAATCATAATAATGCATAAAGGTAGGGAGGTGCCTGTGGCTCAATGGGTAGGGCACTGGCCCCATATACTGAGGGTGGCAGGTTCGAACCTGGCCCTGGCCAAAGTGCAACAAAAAATAGCTGGGCGTTGTAGCAGGCGCCTGTAGTCCCAGCTGCAAGGGAGGCTGAGGCTAAAGAACTGCCTAAGCCCAGGGGTTGGAGGTTGCTGTGAGCTGTGACTCCACAGCACTCTACTGAGAGTGATAAAGTGAGATTCTGTCTCTAAAAATAGATAAATAGATAAATAAATAATGCACAAAGGCAATTTTCCCTCTGCCCTGCTGATTTTGTTTTTGAGACACGGTCTTGCTCTGCTGCCCAGACTGGAGCTCTGTGGCCGTGATCACAGTGCACTGCAGCCTCTAACTTCCTGGCTCAAGTGATCTTCCTGCTCAGCCTTTCAAGTAGCTGAAACTATAGGCACATACCACAAGTGGCTACCCTTTTTTTCCCTTTATTTTGTAGAGACAGGGTCTCGTTATGTTGTCCAAGCTGGTCCTGTACTCCTGAATTCAAGTGATCTCCCACCTCAGCTTCCCAAAGTGCTGATTATGGGTGTGAGCCACTTCTCCTGGCCCTGATTTTTAATTCTCTGGAAAAACTGCTTTAGACAAGAAGAGAGGCTATATGGTAACTTAGAAGTTTTTTTTTTAATTATTTTTTATTAAATCATAACTTTGTACATTGATGCATTTATGGAGTTCAGGGTACTGCTTCGATATACAATGTGAAATGTTTATTGTAAATAAGTTTTTTATTTTAGTTCATTAAATGTAAGAATATGACTATACCTTCAATACAACATCGCCTTCTTGAATATTGCCATCTCTTGCTGCCAAACTATCTTGTGAAATTTCCTTTACAAATATATGGCTGGCCAATCGAAGACCATATTCTGAAATTACAGAGTTTAATAATCACTGCAAAAGGAGAGTTTTTAAGTATAATCAACAGCAAGGCATAGTTTCTGGCCACCCTACAAATATGACATTTCCTCTAATTAGCAAATAGTCTACAATGTTAACATGAAAGAAAAGTGAAAACATCTGGTTTAAACAAAAGACTGACGTACTGTGTTCCTGTTTCACTGAAAGGGAGAAAACCCCAAAGAGAACATCATTTATTTCAGACCATGTATTGATACACTGATTTCCCAGAATGTTTAAGGAATATAATTCTAAATAATAAATTTCCTGAGGCTTAGAAAACTTTGGAAAGGCTAATCAACTTTATTGATTATTGTTATCAAGCATATATTTTTTCTTAGCTCCTACAGCAAAAATATTTGTGGTTCTACACACCTCTGACACAGGAAAGACATATTCAGGAATACTCGTATATGCTACTATGTATTAGCAAAGGCATACAACCAGCCAGGCAGGTGTGAGCTGGAGTTACTAGGCCAGTCCTCTCCTATATATATCCAAAAAAGTATCAAAGAGTAAGGTCATATTAACTGTATCCGTGCGTGAGGGAACAAAGTTGAGTAGTGACTGGGAGAGTTGAAAATAAAGTTTTTTAAAAAACAAAACCAATCACAACAACTATCAGTACAGTGTCAACTCAAAAAGGACTGGCCCTTGGTTCTGTGAGGCAGAAGTCTTACTAAATAAAAAACAAAAACAAAACGAAAAACCAGGATGGAAAACAGAAAATTGTTTTTAATGCAGGACAAGTCAGCACACCTACTACTCAACCCATCTAAAGCTCCATCAGAATTACACTTTAACTTAAGGCAAATATACAGAGTGCTCATGAGCAGGAGCAGAAATCAGGATTTTAGAAAGAAACTATTTTTTTTTAGGAGATCTAGGCAATGAACTAGGCAGTCAATAAAGTGTGCTTTGGAAATGGTCATTATATTACAGTATTAGCTAAAAGACTGTTCTTTTTCAAGATTAAAAAGGTAGAAATCACTGTTACACACATGACCCCCAAATATTTCTTATATGATAGTTTATTTATTTATTGCAAGTATTTCCTTGGGTATACAACAGCTATGTGCCAGGTGCTATGGGTAAAGCAGCAAGTGAGATAGCCCCTGCACCCTGGCAACCTACATAGTTGTAGAGAAAAGGAGGTTACCATGGCAACAACAGGTGCAACGAAGAGTTCAGACAGCAGAAATACAAGTCTCTCCATCTAGAAGGGGGTCAAAGAAGGCCTCCCTGAGGAAGAAATATTAAAGCTGAAGCTTTACCTAAGCAAACACTGAAGGGTATGTTTGTGAGAGAAAGAGTGTGAGGGGTGGGTATTGATAGAATGGTTAAAAAAAAAAATGCACTAAAGGTGCCAAGGAAAAAACCTGGCAGGTCTGATGAATTCTTAAGTCTAATGAAGCTGAGTCTGAGAAGTAAGGCAGAGAGGGGCTAAAGAGTAAGACAGACACATCACCGAAGATCCTTCAACTACACGTAGGAGCTGGCAGAATCAGCTGAAAGTGATCTAGAGACCAGGTATGAGACCAAATGAGCCCACTTAAGGGATGACAGTGGCTTGGAAAGGGTGGTGGCAGTGCAGTGAGACAGAGGTGGGATGGGTGAGAGTGATGTACGCAAAGCAAGGACATACACCGTGAACGGGGAGAAAATGTTGAGGACAGCCATCATGCATGTTGTCCATGGCTTGAGAAACAGGATAGGAATATATTCAATCAGATACTTCATTAAGAAACATGATGAAAAATTTTAAGATTGAGATGTGTTTCACTTGAGATGTGCTGAATATGGGGGACTCACAGAGAATATCTAAGTAAATAGTCCTGTGTCAGTCAGAACACAAGAGTGTACAGATTTGGGTTGGAGAAATAAGTTTTGCCATCATCAGCAGCCATCTGAGGTGAGGGGAGTAGATGAGATCGCCTGAAGAAATTACGTTAAGTGGAAAAGATATTCTAGGATAGAAACCTACAGAACATTACAGGGTAGAATGAAGAGAATGAGCCTGCAAAGAATACAGAAAAGGGGGTGGGAAACCCCCCAGAAGGATGCAGTATTATCAAAAGAATAAATGCATTATTTCAAAACAGGCTGGGTGTAGCTTGTGCCTGTATCTCAGCACTCTGAGATCCCAAGGCAGGAAGACAGCGTGAGGCCACGAGCTCAGGACCAGCCTAAGCAACATAGCAAGACCCCTATCCCCACAAAAAATAATGAGCCAGGTGTGGTGGCCCACACCTATAGTCCTTGCCATTCGGGAGGCTGAGGCAGGAGCCCAGGAATTCTAGGTTACAGTGAGTATTATGATTGCACCACTGTACTCCAGCCTGGGTGACAAACTGAAACTCTGTCTCTAAAAAAATTACTTTAAAAAAAAGAGTGGTTAACTAAGTAAAACGGAACTAAAAATCCAAGTAAGATAACGACTAAAAGGTTTCCACGGGATTTAGTGTGAATAATTTTGAGGGCGAGGGAACAGAGAAGGCTGAAGAGAAGGTGGTGAAATGAAGGGAAAGAGCAGTGTCACAGCTTCCGGGGAGTCCACTGCAGAGCGGGGTGGGGGGGGAGCAGTATTAGGAAGAGGGGTGTCAAGTCTAAAGCAGAGCAGATGAAGCCTTCCTAATATTCTCACTGTCACCTTTTAATCAAAATGATAAGACACGTGTGTCCGCAGAAAGAGGCAGCCACAGTCAGATCCAGTTTTCACCAAATTTGATGAGATGTGCAGGAGAGCAGCTAAGCTTCCATTTCAAAAATTTAAAGAAATCCTGCATTATGCAGGAAACCCTCTATGAGGCTCCACTCCTTCAATCCCTCCATTTTAAAAAAGTCTACCAAAAACAAGTCCCAAGATTTCTGTCCATGGTTATACTACTGTAGCTACGAAAAACACTGAACTTCAATTTGCTGACAGTGTGACGTTTCTTGTTAGCATAATCTGTTCTCATCACAACAACAAACCCAAAATCCAATTACTGGACAATTTTACTGAACCGCTACAGTGCTTAACAAAATGATTCAAGAGAAGGAAATGACCCACCTTGAAGACCTACCAGGATCTGACTCACAGTGAAGGAACACAAACATGACAAAGCAAAAATATGAAGGGACAGCAACCGTTCCTGTCATTAAAATCAGTCTTAAAATTTTCATGGGAAATGCCAAGGAAAGGGTTAGTAAGGCGTACCTTCGTTTTTCCGGGATTTCACCAGCGTGACTTTGGTGGGCCTGGCAGGCTGGCTGGAGGCCAGTGACCGCCTGTCTGACCGTGGTGACAAGCTCCTTTCTCTACTTGCACTTCTATCCCTCGCCCAGTTCTTATCACTCCTTCTGTTGGCTGGACCACCACGGCTACTTCTGGGATCGTGTACTTCCTCATCGTAACTATCTTCTTCATTATCAGATATTGGCTCAGGATCAGGACGACTTACTGGTATCTGAACTTTTTTCTTCCTTCTAATGGTCTGCAAATAAAAAAGATCACAAAATAAGTGGAGTGATTCTCATGTACTAATTTTAGTTCCTAAGAGAAAGGATCACTACATTTTTCTCGTCCTATATTAATATAATACACAAACACACACATTCCTAAGGAATACACTATCATAATGTCTATGTTTCCTGCTGTCTTAACGAACAGATCTAGTTAAGTGTCAAATTACGAACAGTGGGCCTCATATAAAGCCTTTACGTACTCATGCATGAAGATCTTCCAAGTGTAATAATCCTAAGCTCAGAGAGAAACTAATTGCTGGTGGTTTGAATAAAAGATGGGCAGTATACTCTAATGCCATCTATATTGCTACCAAAACCACAGCAAACTTGCAAGCCCAGCTTGACTCCTTAAAAATTTTAGAATGTGGCTCGGCGCCTGTGGCTCAAGCGGCTAAGGCGCCAGCCACATACACCTAAGGTGGCGGGTTCGAATCCCCAGCCCGAGCCTGCCAAACAACGACGATGGCTGCAACCAAAAAATGGTTGGGCATTGTGGCAGACGCCTGTAGTCCCAGCTACTTGGGAGGCTGAGGCAGGAGACTCGCTTGAGCCCAGGAGTTGGAGGTTGCTGTGAACTGTGATGCCACGACACTCTACCCAGGGGGATAGCTTGAGGCTCTGTCTCAAAAAAAAAAAAATTTAGAATGTATCAATGTCAAGGTACACTAATGCCTGATCAGACCCCTAAGAGAGAATTTAATGTACCTTCACACTACCACTCAACTAACCCAGTTATAGTTCACCAACCACACTCTTATCATCTCTGTATCTCTGCGATTTGAAGCTTTTGGATTAGATGCAAATTCTTTTCCTCTGGCATTCTTTTCTCAGTGACTCGTAACTGGCTCTGTTTCCCTTGTCCACTTATTTTCTTCCTTCTCTGGACATTCAAGATCTACATGCATTACCTCCCAATTCAGTGACACCATAGTACACACCTGATCCCAAGAGAAAGCTGCAAGATGTTCTTTCTTTTTTTTTTTTTGAGACAGAGTCTCAAGCTGTCGCCCTGGGGAGAGTGCCGGGGCGTCATAGCTCATAGCAGTTTCCAACTCCTGAGCGAGGTGATTCAAGATATTCTTGAGTAGCACTCCTTGTCTCACATTTCTGATGTCTCTGTCTACTGCAGCGTTCTACTCTCCATCTGATTTCCAGGCCCACTGCCCTCTCCTGTGCTCAGCTCACATGTGCCCTCCGGGTTTCCAGTGACGTCCTCCCAAGTCTGCACGAGACCTCACACCGCCACATTTCCATGGCTTCTCTCTCGACCCCTCCAGACTCTGCCATGACAAACTCCAGTCTGCATCACCTTCACTTGCACACTTACTGCTTATGTCTCCTAGAAACTGATTTTACCTGACAGAATTTTTGCTCTTGTTCAGCAATCCTTTTATCTGTATCTTTCTGCCTTTCTGTGCAATTGCCTACCATAGGCATTCCAAAACCATTCTCCAAGATCCCAACCACCTAGTCTATCTTCACTTCACTCCCCTTCTCCTTCTAAATTTTTTCAGTATCTCATTTATTTGGTCTTCTTTCCTTCTGGTCTTAAAGACCAAGTTGATCTTCTTCCTGTATGAACAGAACTCTTACAACTGAGCTCTCATTCCTACCCATCTCCAAGACCTTTCTCCATCACTCACCATGGTTGAGTGGTTGCTTGCATCTCTAATCTCTTCCCACGTACCTCAAATCAGTCCTTTGCCTAATACCCTCCCAATTAGCCTTGTGTTTCCCAGTCTAGCTACTCACTTCCATGTTATCATCTTCTCCAAAGGGCTACTCTATTCCTCATACTGTGCCTTCCTACTATTATTACTACCACCATGAGCAATCAGAGAGAGCTTTTCTGAAGACACAAGTGAAAGCTAAAAGATGAGCAGCAGTGGAGGCAAGGATGTGACAAGGGGGAAGGGAAGCCCTGATATGAACTGGGAGAAGCAAGGCTGCCTCTGCCCTCAGAGCACCCCGCAACTGAGGTTCTTATCAAGTAACATTCATGTAAAGCATTCTTTTTTTTTTTTTTAGACAGAGCCTCAAGCTATCCCCCTGGGTAGAGTACCATGGCATCACAGTTCACAGCAACCTCCAACTCCTGGGCTCAAGCGAGTCTCCTGCCTCAGCCTCCCAAGTAGCTGGGACCACAGGCGCCTGCCACAACGCCTAGCCATTTTTTGGTTACAGCCATCATTGTTGTTTGGCAGGCCCGGGCTGGGGATTCGAACCTGCCACCTCAGGTGTATGTGGCTGGCACCTTAGCCGCTTGAGCCACAGGCGCCGAGCCCATGTAAAGCATTCTTAACTGCCTCCCTGCTCTTACGTCTCCCTTCTACTTCAATCTCCAATATTGTATCCGAATCTATTAGTACTTTCATCTTCAGAAATGATGCAGAGATAAGCCACACAGTGAGGCAATCTACTAAAGGCAAGAGGGCTAAGGCTAATAATGTTTGGGTGCACAGTTTCAGGGTACACCCTTTACAGCTCTCCTCAGACTCCCAGACATCACAATTCAATGCAGGCTTCCCCACATGCCCACCCACCCCTGTCCTTTCTGTTGGGTTCTGAGTGTCTGCTGGCACTGAATGGAGAGAGCAAGGCTGAGCACCAAACACTCAGCCTCTTCCTCCTGCTGTGCTGTGTGCTCCTGAACTAAGGCTTCCCACTGGTGGCCTCATTAGTCCTCTTTGGGGCTAGGTGGGACAAAAAACATAGGAGGGACAAAGAGGGTAAAAGGGCTAATATGCTTCTTCCTAAGTGAGAATAACATTTTAAATAAGACTTTTACATTAAATCCATTCTATGCTACATGTGTCAAATTTTAACTGTGATGTGAGGCCAGTTATCAAGCGGTAAATGAACTTCTCCCTTACTTAAAAAAAAAAGTACCCAGAGAAACATGACATAGAGATTCTAGCTACATAGTAATACAGTAACATTAAAGGGCTCTCAACAACTCTACCAAAAAACCCAGATTTTTTTCTCTGCTCAAGTTATCACAGTAACAAGGAATGTAGTTGTTGATATATGCTTCAAAAGACAACATAAAACTTACCCAGTAATAAATCTTATACCAGAAAAGGCCACATATTTCAAACTGACTACATGCCAAGATCCAGTCTAACTTCAGTACATTCAGTGTACTTACCAATGAGGACCCCCCTCAGAAGTGCATCTCTGTGTGAACATCACAGGTACCCTCACACAGACCAGTTGTGCAGCCTGCTACACACACGGGCTGCACAGTACAGCCTACTGCTCCAGGCTGCAATGGGTGCAGCATGTAACTGCACTAAATACTACAGGCAACTGCAACACTGGCAAGTATTTGTCTCTAAACTTATCTAACTGTGGAAAAGGTTCACTAAAGATCCTGTAATCTTACGGGATCCCTGTTGTATTTACGATCTTTGTTGACTAAAATATGAGAAGAAACATTAGGCCATAAAGAGGTAACCATTCAACTATTCCCTTTCCTTTTCCAACTAAAAAACCCTGGGATCTGAGTTTTGAGAAAATGCACACAACAGTGACAAAACACAATACTCTTGGAAGAATTATTCTTAAGTACAAACAACTGACTTAAGAAATATTGTTTCCGTTTTCATTTTCTTAAACAGGAAGACAGAATTCAAACACCAGAAACAGAAAAATAAAGTTGATATTTTACTATTTTTTTTAATATTTCAGGCTCCTTTATTCCATGAATATTTACAGAACATCAACTATTGGCAAAACATTGACATAATCATTGAAGATAACATTGGGGCAAATGTATTAATTGTATGAGGAAACAAAAGCATTATCTACAAATCAATTATGAGATAAGTATACTCATTACCACCACTTCTAGTAAAGTTGAAGATCCTAGTTAGTACAATTGTGATAACTTAAAAATCCCAATAGTTTGTAAAAAAAATATAAATTTCATTACTTCCAAGTTACCAAAAGCAAAAGAAAAATTCAGCAATATAGCTAACTTCAAAATAACTATACAAAATCAATCATATTCCTATATAAAAAAGAATTACAAAATAATATTTTGTAATAATATTAGAAAAAGAAAGATAGCATTGTAGATTAAAAAATACTTACAATTTTTGCATTTTTCCCGCTTTTTCTTAGTTGCTGAACAGCAAAAGCGTGTTCTACATTATCCATTGAAACTCCATTAACCATTGCAACTCGATCGTTTTCCCTAAAAAACGATCGAAAAAGTTACCAAAATAACATGTTACCAAAAAAAAAAAAAAAATTACTAGGAGTTTATAAAAGAACTTTTCAAAACAGGTACTTCTAACATATTCTAACTATGGGCTAATTAATCTATCTCTTTTCAGATCAACGATGAAATGTCAAAAAATTTACTTCCAGATGTCCCACCAGAATATTCAGCAAGTAACTCACCATAAGCTCTTAACATGTTTTACCCACTGACCCGGGGTTTCCCCGAGGACTGAACAGGGAGCACAACACCCAGAATAATTTCTGATGTTACATTTAGAGAACCAAATAATACCAAATAATACCAAGTCATATAGTTGGAAAGAATTATTTCCTTTTGAAAAAATAAAGACTCTCCTTTTCATTTTCTTTTAATCTTATTGATTATAGTCTCTTTACTTTGGCCAGTATAGCTTTTGCTTTTTTGTTTTTTTTTTTTTCATTTTGCTAATCTCCTTACCAAACAAAAAGGGCAAGACTTGGGGTGAGAGGTTCCTGAAGGAGGGGCTGTACTTATAACTGGGTTACAGATTTTCTTTTTCACTATTTTGAAGTTACCTTCCGTTTAAAGTGACACTAGCTTTCCACTTATGAATAGCGACAGAGCTTCTTTCTTAATTAAATAAGTGTATGTTAATTTCAGAAAAAATATTAAATAAACCATGGCAGAGGTGGTGTGTGAACACAGCCCATCACCAGGACAGGGTGCCGTGACGTGTGAAGGGCTCTGGGGGAGAAGTGTGCTTACTGCAGCTGTCCTTCCGCGGGGCCTCCTTTCAACACATCGGAAATCACTATCGATGTTTCCCCACTCTGAAAATGAGGATTATCTCTTCCACCAGATATTGCAATTCCAAATCCAAATCCAGGAGCCTAAAACAATAATTACAGTAACATGTTGCTATTAAGGACAGAAATAATCATTTGTTGTATCACACTCTACAATTTAGAAAAGTTGAAATATAAAACTACAATTTTAAATGAATAGCAAGACACTAAGAAAAAAACTGCAATTTTTACCTATGATCCACAATTACTTCCTCATATAATTACATATAAGAATTATCTATCTTTGTACAAGAATGCATACTCTAATTAATGAAATACTGGACACAAGAGAATACTAAAAATTGCCAGTTACATCATTGCTTTATGATAACTAAAACACATTTTAAAATTCTGAAAACTAAAATTCTGAATTTATTTCTGATTATTAGAAGGGTCCCTGAAGGGACTGGCAGTGCCCAGAGTGATCACCACAAACACTGGCAACTGATTTAGAAGATGGCAGACTTCATTAGTATATACACCATCTGCCATTGTACAAAACAAAATCAAACCTTGTACACTGCGCACACTGTGTACAACAGAAGGTGTACATCAATCATATCTAACATTTTTAAATTATATTTTTAACTAAAGCAAATTATAACAAGCCACATACTTCTGAAAGACCTTACAATCTTTACTACAATGATTATGGACAGACTAGTATAGATGTAGCTCAGTGGTTTGGGCACTGGCCACATACACCAGGGCCAGCGGGTTTGAACCCAGTCTGGACCAGCTAAACAACAACAGCTACAACAAAAAAATAGCCGGGCACTATGGCAGGCGCCTGTAGTCCCAGCTATGTGGGAGGCGGAGGTAACAGAATCACTTAAGCCCAGGAGTTGGAGGTTTTTGCGAGCTGTGACGCCATGACACTCTATTGAGGGTGACTCTGTCTCAAAAAGAAACCTTACTGAATCTCAAAGAAATTCACCCCATTCCCTAGAAAGAAAATGAAGTACTCAGGAGTACATCATACATTTTCCTAAGGCTCCAGAATCACTAAACCAGAAATGTGTTTTTGTGTAAAGTTATATAATCCCAACTACCTTAAGATACAAAGCACACAAATTCCAGGATCACATACACGTATGGTAACTGAAAAAAAGACAAGTCACTTCAGTAGCCAATTTAGATAATTATGGATATTCATGTTTGATTTTATACCAAAAACTGGATAAACGGTAGTTTCGTAATGGATAGTTGGAATGTATGACGCAAGACCCTATCAAGGAACTGTCTGTGCTGCTGTGTGGACAGCTACTGAGCCGGTTCTGTACTCTGGGCATTTCATCTATGAATGACAGAAGAGTACGCCTTAGTCTTTTGAAAAATATTGATTCTCTGAGGCAAGTCTTTCAAATGATGACCCATTTCACCACACAATATTTTTAAAAATCATGTGTTAACATCACCATCACACTCCTCAGGAAAGTTTTTGAAGTACTGAAAAGCTCCTGAGCGCAAGGTGGAAGATAAAAGTTGTACAAATTTTAATTTTTGCTTTAAAATTCAATTCTCACTCCAGGCAACGAGGCTCACACCTATAATCCTCCCACCCTGGGATGCTGAGGCTGGAGGATCACTTGAGTTCAAAAGTTTGAGGTCAGCCTGGGCAACACAGAGAGAACTCATCTGTTAAAAAATATATTTTCTTGGCTTGGTGCCTGTAGCTCAAGCGGCTAAGGTGCCAGCCACATACACCAGAACTCACGGGTTCGAATCCAGCCTGGGCCTGCCAAACAATGACAACTACAACCAAAAAATAGTGGGGTGTTGTGGTGGGCGCATGTAGTTCCCACTACTTGGGAGGATGAGGCAATAGAATCGCTTAAGCCCAGAAGTTGGAGATTGCTATGAGCGGTGATGCTATAGCACTCTACCTAGGGCTATAGCTTGAGGCTCTGTCTCAAAAAAATAAAAAAATAAAAAATAAATATATTTTCTTAAATTAGCTCAGCAAGGTGGAATGCATCTGTAAGCCCAACTACTCAGAGGGCTGAGGTGGGAGGATTGCTTGAGTCCAGGAGTTTGATGCTGCAATGAGTTTTAATCATGCCACTACACTCCAGCCTTGGTCACAGAGTAAGACTCTGTCTCAAAACCTAAACAAAGAAATGCTCTTTACTGGAAAAAACCTAAACATCCAAGGGTAAAAGATTATTCTTTCCCTACCCTTTTTTCTCCTTGGAAGAGATAAAACACAAATCTTTTACCTTATGTAACCTTATACTATGTATTTACATTTTGCTTTGTAATTCTTTTATTTTAAAATTAGAAACATAACAAAAATATTAAAGAAATACTAAAAACATTAGGAACTTTTAATTAAAGAAGGCAAGATGACAAGACATTTTCTTAAGAACTACTTCTGAGCAAAATTAAGTGTAGTTTGGGCTCCAGTGAGCCAGGGCCCAAAACCAGACAGCTTGGGCATCTGGCAGGGGCATGTCATTCTCCTAGATGGGTGTTTCCTACAGTGTAGCTGATTTTTACCTAGCTACAGGTGAGAGTCATCTGGGAAAAGTTTCAAACAGGCTTGCTGATGCCCATATCCTCAACCCAGATCAGTTAAGTAAATATGGAAGAGCAGTTGGTAGCCATGTCTAAAATCAGCAGCCAGAGACATGAGAACTGCACCTTTGAATGTTTTGTGATCAGATGTCACCAGATACCTGTTTAAGGGCTCAACTGTCACATACTTCCCTTCCCGCTACCTTCACCATCATCTTATTTGGCCCTGCCAATAGATTTCTTACCTCTACTGCACTAAAATCTATTCTCCATCATGCTGGCAAATCTGTCACTCTAAAACAAAGAACTAACCCAATAGGTGTGCCTACAAGTCTAAATTGGTTAGCATGTAACCCCCTTGCACAGAACTCCCACTTGCTTCCCAGCACTCCAGTCTTTGCTCTAAACCCGCTTAACTACTGATCCCTGCTTAAGCATGCCATGCATATCAAACTGTGTGCTTTTGCACTGCCCCTCTCCATAAGATTTCTTTAGCATCTCATCAATCCTGCAAATTTTAGCTCCCTCTTCAAACTCCAGGTTCAACATCATCTCATCCATAAAATCATCCCTGCTTTTATAACCCATCCTGTGTCCTCACAGAGTACATGGATATATTTCTGCTACTTAACACGTGGCATTGTAAGTAGCCTGGATTATCAAGGGCCCGTGTACAAGGGATGTGGCCTCACATAAAGTAGTTCATCAGCTTAGTGAGCCTAAACAAGTATTTGATTGATTATTCAATTTAATTTTAATTCTATTCCCCTTTATAGAGATTGCCTTTTTGTTTTTTTTTTTAAGTAGAACTAATTTGAGAACTAAAAACTCAGAATTCTGGGAAAATTAGCAGAGTAACAGTAGGCATAAATAAAACTTTGAATTTCAAAATAAAAATAGGCAGAGCAAGCACATAATGAACAAACCAAAAACCCATGGACAACACTTACAACAAAACCCACGCATCCTCTCTGAAGCGCCAAGTCCAAGCCAGTGAAGATACACAGCCAGCTATGAGGCCTATTTAGTACACATACATGCACATGTACACACACAGAGAAAAGCAAGCAAACAAAACTGTAAACCTCAAAACCCCTTCAAAGCTACTATGAAAAGATTTTGAGTAGTAGAGTAACAACCCCACCACCAAAGCCTGACAGAAAGAGTGCTCAGAAAATGAGAAGGCCAGGCACGTGGCTCAATGTCTGTAATTCCAGCACTTGGGAGGCCAACGCAGGTGGACTGCCTAAGCTCACCAGCCTGAGCCTGAGCAAGACCTCATCTCAAAAACTAGCCAGGCATGGCGGGCGCCTGTAGTCCCAGCTACTTGGCAGGCTGAGGCAAGAGGACTGCTTGAGCCCAAGAATTTGAGGTTGCTGTGAGCTATGACACCACTGCACTCTACCGAGGGTGACAGAGTTAACCTCTCATCTCAAAAAAAAAAAAAGAAAGAAAGAAAGAAAGAAAAAAGATCAAAACTCTTAACTATCACAAAACAAGTTAAAAGGCTGTTAGGAAAATGATATAAACACAAGACATGATAGAACATAAGAATTAGGGCAGTGCCTGCGGCTCTCAGTAGGGCACTGGCCCCATATACTGAGGATGGTGGGTTCAAACCCAGCCTCAGCCAAACTGCCATAAAAAAATAGCCAGGCATTGTGGCAGGGCGCCTGGATCCCAGCTACTTGGGAGGCTGAGGCAGGAGAATCACCTAAGCCCAAGAGTTGGAGTTTGCTGTGAAGTGTAACGCCACGGAACTCTACTGAGGGCGACAAAATGAGACTCTGTCTCTAAAAAAAAAAGAAGAAGAAGAAGAAGAAGAACAAGGTAAGAATTAGAAATGAAAGAATTCAAGAGAAAATTAAAAAATTTAAAGTCATTTTACATAGGAGAAACTTAAGACAGAAGAAATAGTATCTTAAGAGAAAGTATAAGGGAAAAAAATTTTTTAAAACAGAAAACTAAAAAGAGATAATGTGATTTTATAAAAAGGGATTTTTGAGAAAATTTAAAAAACTGAATACAAAAGAGGTATAACATAACATATGGATAAAGAAGTAAACCAAAATAAGGGAAGAGAAAAATTAGTAAAAAACTGTTAACTTAAAAAAGTTTCCTGATCACTATTTTTGAATGAAACAAAACAACATACAGAAACACTGTGTTTATCTGACAGTTATCTGAGAATATCAATCCAGGGAGACGATCACCAAAATACATTAAAACTACTAAAGTTTAAGAAAAAAAAACAGGCTCGGCGCCTATAGCTCAACCGGCTAAGGCACCAGCCACGTACACCTAAGGTGGCGGGTTCGAATCCCCAGCCCGGACCC